TCCCATACCCTCTTACTTTCCACATGGATTACAGTTCAATCTAACAGCCAGGAGATAATTTATTGACTAGTGATAAAATACATATAACATATAGAATTGTTCACGGTTTTCCTTAGGATTGCCCACAACATTTCAAACTCAGCTTTGTCTCTTGTTGAGTTGACCAGCATAGTTTCCAGGGTGGTCCTTTATTCCCTGCATTGCACTGAGAGATTTGGTGGCCCCTCTCAAAACGGGTTTATGATTGTTAATAATTTCTCTTATTACTTTCACTTCTTGCTTTGGCATATACACTCCCAGTAGTGAATGTGGTTACATGAAAGGTCAACCTGAAACATTTAGTGATTTGTCTTTTTTTGTTGTCTCCTTTTTTCTGTATGCCCATTCGCCTCATCCCTGAGTCTCATGTGAACTACCACACACCTACTATTACTCCAGCTTTTTATCATGAGTTTGGATCAGATGGATGTCAGAGGGAGAATATGTGGAAAAATAATCCCATTATAGGATATTTTAGAAAATCCATGTTTCTTGAAACTCTGAACAGCTTCACCCTGAAAGTCTACCATTCTTCATAGGCTAAAGCATAATACTTCTCCAGGGATTCCTATTTCCCTTTTTATTTTATTTTTTTAATTTTACTTAATCTTCTATACTGTATTCATTGTGATGCCCTGTCATGGTACCCATACCTTACAAATTAGTGATGACATACACTAAAATGTGCTGATTTAATTGTCGTAGTCTATATAAAGTCATTTGAAGGGTCATATAATCTAGAAGTACCTAGCCATTTGTTGGGTTTCCTTTGAGCCATTTGAGTTGTAGAATCTTAGATTTAGAGCTGCTAAAGAATTTAGACACCATAACAGTATAACCATTTCATTTTATAGGTGAGGGAACTAAAGTTAAATTACAGATTTGCATAGGATCACGTAGCTAATAAGTGGTGATACTCAGATTTGAACTTAAGTCCTCTGACTCCAAATCCAGCATTCTTTCCACTGAACCACATTGCAACTAGACTGGCTTGAACCTATTCTTGATCCAGTACTAGTAGCAAGATTTGCCTTAATTGTTATTACACTAAGAGGAATATCTTCTCTTTTTAAGGACCTACCCCTACCAAGGAGATTCAGTAAGTTGCTCTGGTTCTCATTCCAGTGCCTTTCTCAATTCAGTAATACAAGAAATATTTATTGAGTGCTCCTATGAGCAGAACACTTTATTTGACATTGTAGAGGCATACCAAAGAATAAAACACAATCCTTATCTTTATGGAGTTTATATGAAACTCTTCATATCTTTATATGAAAATTATAGCTTCATGGTTAAGAAATTTTTATTTGTATATAACTTAAATCCTTCATGTTAAAGGTTAGAACCCTATTTCCTTTCTCTCTGTCCTCAGTGGAGAAATCAGTCATCAATATTGATTAAATACTCACTATATACAGGCCACATTGGTACAATAGAGTCCTTCAAAGTAAATCAAGTATTAGAAGGGATCTCATGTAGAAGAAGACTTGCTCTTGGTCTCGGAGGGCAGAGGTAGGAACAGTATATTGAAGACAGATTTCAGATCAATATAATGAAAAAGATCCTAACAGTCAGAGTTATAAAAAATTGAAAATGGAAAACCTTAAGAGGTAATGAGTTTACTGTCATTGGAGGTTTTCACGCAGAAATTAGATGACCACTATTGGAGACATTGTGGAAAGGATTCCCTTTCATTTACAAATTGGAGTAGATGACCTTTGTCTTGTTTTGATTCTGTGACATAAACATCGTGGCCCTAGCTCTCAAGGAGATTATAATCTTTTAACAATGAAGAAACCAAACGGGAAGCCCTTTTTATAAAGCACCATGAAGAGCACAAGTTAATGTGATATAAACTGAGTAGAGGAGGAAATAAATCTTCCCAGAAAAGGTTATTTTTTTAACTGAATTTAGAAGGAAATGAAGGCCATGCGTTAGTGAAGATGAAAGTAGAAGGAGTAGTGCATATTCAGTCTTAATTGTCTTTGTGTCTCCTCAGTAGCCTGCTGATTTTGCATGTATCATATTGCTTTGATCCTAGAAGGGTCTTAGTAAATGGAGGTTGAATGAGTGAATGGAAGTGAAAAAAGAAGGGGAATAGTTGGCTAGAAGAAAATTGGCAGGACAAAAATATGTGGCAGCAAAGAATTGGAAATTGAGAGTATGCCCATCAATTGGGGAATGGCTGAATAAGTTGTGGTATATGAATGTAATGGAATGCTATTGTGCTATAAGAAACGATGAGCCAGTGGACTTCAGAAAAACCTGGAAAGACTTGTATGTACTGGTGCTGAGTGAAGTGAGCAGAACCAGGAGAACGTTGTACACGGTAACAGCCACATTGTGCAATGACTGATTTGATAGACTTAGCTCTTCTCAGCAATGCAAGGATCTAAGACATCTCCAAAAGTCTCATGATGGAAAGTGTTATCCACATCCAGAGAAAGACCTGTCGAGTTTGAATGCAGATCAAAGCATACTGTTTGCTCTTTTTTTCCTTCTTTTTTGTTTTGTTTCTTCTTTCTTGTGGTTTCTTCTATTGGTTCTAATTCTTTTTTACGACATGACTAATATGAAAATATGTTTAATAGGAATGTATATGTGGAGCCTGTATCAGATTGCATGCCGTCTTGGGGAGGGAGGTGGGGAGGGAGGGGGAGAAAATTTAAAAGCTTAGGGAAGTGAATGTTGAAAACTAAAAATAAGTTAATTAAAAAAAAAAAAGAAAATTGGCAGGAGTAACTGGCACAGTATGTGAGTAGCTGGCCATTTGGTAGAAGTCCTTGAAGATCATAGTAAAAAAATTTTGGTGTTAATTTTATAGACCATGAAGAAGTTTCTTAAGTAGGACAGCGATATTGTGAAAATGTGTGAGGAAGACTTTTTACTAAATAGATAGAGATTAGGAAGGATTGAAAATTGAGAGACTAACTGAATCCTTTGTAATCCACGTTTCACACTGGGCCTATCCTAGGATGGTAGCCGTGGAAATACAGATTAAAAGATGGAACCAAAAGACATTGTGTAGAAAGTCTCAAAAAGCTTTTGTGTGAGATTCAATGGATTAAGCTGGGAGAATGCAAGGGAAATTAGGCATCTAGAAAACTGAGAGCAAATGGAGCCAGTGAGAGTAACTGGGAAGTAGTGTCTTCACAATTGTATAGAATGATGAAGAGTATTTCTTTTTTACAGAATGGAATGAAAAAGCATTTATTTTAAGCATTTACTATGTGCAAAGCATAGTGTTAAGTGCTGGGGATACAAACAGAAAACTTGAGTAGTCCTTGATCCCAAGGAGCTCACATGCTAATTGGGTAAGACAATACATAAAGAAAGGTTTGGTTTCACGGTAGAAGGAAATGCTAAGTCATACATAGGCTATAAAATTTCATGAAGATCCAAGTGAACCTGTTTTGTAGTCAGAGACAAAAAAGCCTTTTATCTTCCTATGGGGTTCCTAAGGTACTCCACGATCTGGCTTTAATCTACCTTTGTTTACTTTATTTCATAGCATTTCCTTTTATATATTCTGCATTCCAGCTAAACCAAGCCATGTTCTACCCCCTAATCTTATCTTCTCCCACTTCTACATGGAAGTACAGTTTATCCTCATACCACGAAATTACTTCCTGTACATATCTACCTGTTAAAATGTATCTCTTTGAAACTTTACTCAAGTGCTACTTTCTCTTTTCCAGATTACCCCAGTCGAAATTGATCTCTCTCTTTGGGTCTCTCTGTTCCTATCACATTCTATTTTGTATCTTCCTTATTTGTGTACATGTGGTGTCTTGCCTATCAGATTGTAAGCTCCTTGTGGTCAGACACTGTATCTTTTTTCAACTCTGTAGCTCCTCTTCCTGGCATGGTGCTTTTGCATATTTAGGCACTTAATAAATGTTTACTCAGTTGAACTATGTTTCTATTCTCCAGTCCGCTAATTTTTTTTTAGTCTTTCTTTTTGGCTTTATTTTCCAATCCTTTTAAATATTAAGTACTGTTAGTTTTTATGTGATTTTCTCAACATCAGTAATTCTATTCAGTGAACATTTTTTAAACAACTACTATATTCAGAGCATTGTGCTAAGTCCTGAGGGTATACAGAGATGAAGAAGACATTATCACCATACTCGTGAAGCTTATAAACTTAGAGTGAATGAAAATGCCCTATCACTAACTGTAATTTAATGTAAAATATATCACAGAGAAAGAATCAGCATCAAAACTGAGTCCTTGATGGTGTTTATGTTAGCTGGCTTATATTACATATAAAATTTTATAAATGAATAGAGTTAGACTTTTGTTGAATCTTTAAAGTTTTGTGAATCAATTGGCTTAATAGAAATCATGACCTTGACAAGATTTTATTACTTTTCAGAGTCTTGAATAAATCAATTCATTTTTTGTTTTAATTTGACCATATCTATTATATTTATTGTGCTTTATCAATCTGATGATACTTTGCAAAGCTATTCATCTACTTTTTTAGTATTCAGCTGGCAGTTTATGGCCCTGGATTCTCATCCTAATCTTGTCATAAGCTCTCTAACTTTGATGAGGATCTTAACTTTGGTTTCTTTAAGTCTAAAATCAACCTGATGGTGATAGCCACCCCTATCTGCCTCACAGAAATGCCACAAGGATAAATCCTGTGTGATCTCCAAATTTCTCATCTATGAAGTAGGGATAATAATATTTTAAATATTATGTCATGGTTATCATTAGATTCAAATGTAATAATGTATGTAAATGTAAAGTTTGCAAGTCTTGAAGTACTATAGAAATGCCAGTTGTCAGTACTATAATAAATTGATAAAAGTAATTGTCATTGAAATGCTTAAAGCTTAGCAAAGACAAGACACTTTAGGTTCATAGTATTGTGTGTTATTCGTCTTGGTTTGGTGATTGCTCACTGAAATAAATATTTTCCCCTTGTTTCTTCCTCTATCTTGCTACATCAGATTGCTGTTTTCTAAAGTAAAGTTGGAGTCACTCTGTCGAGGCCCGGATGAGGCCCTCCTTACCTGCAAGCACATGTTACAAATATGGAAATCCTGCTACAACCTCACTAATCCCAGGTAAGAGACCAGAGTAATCCATTTTGCATTGTCTTTGCATAGTTTCCCAATGAACAGAATTCTTTCAAATTGGCATTTTAACCAGTATTAACCCCTTATTGAAAATGCTTTGCTTGGCCTTTCTATACTTGCTCCTTCAAAAAAAAATCATTTGCTCATATATAAGATGCAGGAAGCATGGCTAGAAAGCGATTTGGGAGGCAGGAAGGTATTTTAATGGACTGTAAGCTAATTATGCTTTTTTTTTTTAAAATTTTAAACTGAGTCTCCCTGTCTCACCCAGGCTAGAGGTACAGGAGTTACTAATGGTCCCAGTTCCCGTCTGTTTGGCCTGGGAGCTTTGACCACTCCTCTCTTTCTGACCTGAGCAGATTTTAGTTTGAAGGGAATCTTATAGTAGCCATTAACCTAAAAACATACAGGCTTCTTTATCTTTCTTTTCTTTGTGATTTATTAAGCTCAATTCAAATTTGATCTCTACTACCTCCCCCCCAACCCATTTATTTTACTCCTTTCAAAGTCCTAATTATCTGTCATGGGTTACAGATAGATCCTTAATAAGTGTACTTCACACATAGTAATAGAAAAGGTGCTGATCTGCATTGGGGGAGAAAGCTCCCTACAGGATGCTTGCTATACTGATGAAATCACAGGTTTAGTTAAAAAAAAATTAAGAACCACCAGGTCTTATATTCCTAGTGAGAAGGAAGATTATGCCCACGTATCTGAATTGTTATTGCACCATGAGAAATGATTTGCCAAAATGGCATCTGTAAAGACTTTGGAGAATTCATTCAGCCTTACAGAAAACTACTGAAAAGTTGACAGAATAGCATATTACCACATCACCTCTTGTTTAAAGGAGTCTGAATCTTAAAGAAACATGGATCCGATCTCTTGATTCAGTCTTTCAATTTTTATTAAAGGTGGGATAACCATTACCTTCAGGAAGAAAACACAAAGTCTCGTGCCTCTGTTTCTCTGTGTTTCAAAGGAATTGACTCCTTTGTTACATGTTTCTTGCCTTTAAAGGAATAAATCCCTTTCATAAGTGTTTCTTGCCTTGTCATCTTAACCATGACTGGGGCAGGCCAATGCAGGAGTTAATGGAGCAGATGTGAAGCAAATATGGCTGCTGGAAGGAAACTTTTTTTTTTTGAAGGAGACTTTCTTACCAAGAACCATGGAGAGATTTTGTGACCGAAACTTTAGATATATAATGTTAGCAGTTTAAGCCCACCAATCTACTGGCTGTGGAACTGGACTCACTACTTAATTTAGGACCGTTTTTCCCTGGCACATGTGAATGCTATGAGAATAATTTCATTCCAAGGAACAAAATGCAGTTTTTCTAAGGATGGGGACACAAATAATATGCATTGATACCTCTCTGCTGAGGTTACCAGGGTGGGGAATGCCTAGCCTTGAGGCCACATGTGGCCCTCTAGGTCTTCAAGTGCCCTTTGACAGAATCCAAACTTCACAGAACAAAACCCCCTAATAAAAGGATTTATTCTGTAAAACTTAGACCCACTCAAAAGGCCACAGCCAAGGACCTAGAAGGACACATGTGGCCTTGAGGCCGCAGGTTGCCTTATCCTGGTAGACTGTGTTATAAATATCAGTGTGCCACCTGAAAGAAATTGTCCTTATCTTAGTGGAAGTTTGAGGCAAAACCCAAGCTTTGTTCCCTATTTTTCTCTTACTTTATATCTCCTCTAAGAAGGATAAAATAAATCCACCACCTTTCTATTGCCAATTTTTACCCAGTCCTCCACACTTCTCCCACCTCCCCACATTTCCTCCCACTTAGCAACCAAGAATATTGAATGTAAGGAGAAAAAAATAGCAAAAATTTAAAAGTTTAAAATAAACACTTGAAAAAAAGCTTCTACTGTGTCCACATTTCCTGTCAGCTCATTGAAATTAAGAGCAGAGATCAGTTTTCTTTCTGTACATAGTATTTGTTCCTTACAACACAGTATAGATGCTTGAGAAATGCTTGTTGGATTGATTGCTTATCATTGTACCCCTACTCACCTCAGAGCTGGGGGAGAGGATGGAAGGGGCTAAATTTGCAGGGATTATTGTTTGATTTTTTTAATTTTTAATTTTTTCCCCTAGAATAGAAATCAGTGCCTCAAGAGTGATTATCTTATCCCCCTTTTCAATTTTGCAAATGTAGTTACCCTTCCTACTATTCATTAGTAAGATTAAGACTCTGAATATAATAAGAAACAAAGAAATTATGTGCCAGACCAATGTCCAGTACTAGGTCAGGCCTATATTATTGCTATTTCCCATATAATTAGTTCTAGTTTCTTAATTGCTTTGATTACAAGGATCTACCAGGTAGTACAAGTAAGTGTCCTCAACAGTGACCTTTTAGACAGGGAAGCATCACATAAGAGACATAAACAGGGATGGTTCAGGGAGAAGAAAGAAGGAATCTTAAGAGTTGAAAGTGACCTCAATGGCCATCTAAGTACTTGCTCCAAATCTCCATATTTGATTCCCTTTTCCCTCTTAAAAAACAATGGTAAAGAGCATTTTGTCTAGAAGTCATTTGTTTTCTATCCTCAGCCTATCTCCCTTGGCATTTGCTTCCACCTGTGGCAAGAAAGTGTTTTCCATAGCTGTTGCTGATGATGTTACAGAGGACATCATGGGCAGTAAGGCAGTAGCCAAAATGAGCATAGATCTTAGCTCACAAACCCTGACCCAGTCGTGTGCCAACTCCGATGTCACATCACAGATTAGAAGGGAATTATGTTATGAACAGTGCCATTTGTTTCATCGTTTTGAACAATTTGAAATAGGTTTTCAAATGTTGGAAGCAAAATAGTGGGTGGGATTTTTTAGCTCGTGTGTTCATTTGCCAACGAGTTTTTCATTTTAGGAGAATTATATTTTTTTACTATCTTTAGGTCTACTTATATTCGATATAGAAATCTACCGACTGAAAATTGAAAAGCTCCCTTAGTTTTTATGCCAGAGTACATATTGACTTACCAATAGACAACGAAGATAACATGAATTCTGACCTTCTTTTTTTGTCATCAGATTTTGGGCTTTTCAGTAAGTTGGGTTTTAGGTATTTTAGGTATTTTTTAAATAATATTATCAATCACCTTAAAAAAAACCCAATCTCTACAAATAAGTTTTTGGAAGGGTAGAGTTAAAGAAAAAGAATGATTGTGAACTCTGTTGTTATTTAGTTGTTTTAGTTGTGTCTGACTCTTCTTGACCCCACTTGGAGTTTTCTTGGCAAAGAGACTAGAGTGGTTTGCCATTTCTTTCTGCAGCTCATTTTACAGATGAGGAAACTGAGGTAGACAGGGTTAAGTGACTTGCCCAGGGTCACACAGTTAGTAAGTGTCTGAGACCAGATTTGAACTCAGGAAGATGAGTCTTCCTGACTCCAGGCCTGGTGCCGTATCTACTGTGCCACCTAGCTGTCCCGTGAACTCTGTTGCCTTACAGTAATCTTTGATTTTGAAAATGTTAATTGTGAAATGTTCTAAAATAGTGACCCTTAAGGCAGATATTTTTGTGCTTATGGTAAAACTATTGTAGCCCTGTGTTATAACATCTGTTATATGACGCTCTTCAGCTCTTTTGGAGCCCATGGCACCATTGCAGGACATTAGTGGGATGGTGGGCAATAGCAGACTAGCTCTAAAAACTGCTCTCCCTCCTATTTCTCTGGCCCACAATACAACTTCTATACAGTGGATAAAGATCTGAGAGATTGTTGGGCAAAGGGAAAAGAAATCTCCCCAAACCAAGGATTAACTACCAAGAGCTAGTTAATATCCTACAGAAATCATTCCTTTACCAAAAGCACCCAGAATTAAAACCAATGAAGAGCCTGTTTGATTTCTACAGAATTTTTAGTGAAGCTGGGTGAGAGAGAACTCATTTCATGAAATGAGGCAAAGGAGGGTTTTTGTTTTTGAAAATTGGCACCTTAGTTGTGTTACTAAAACATTCAACTTAAATTACAAGTCAACTATTTTCTATTTCAGGGAGAAATGAGATGAGTGAGATGTATAGCTTAATGACTGAAAAGATCATTGCATATTTCTCCAAAACTTTCCCCTCCCCCCAAACCAGAACTAGATTAAAATAATGCAGTAGACCCGTTTTTCCTTCCTTTTTCCTATCTTCTCTTGTAGGAGAGTCCCTGAGCAGTATGGGGTGAAAGCGGAATGGACCAAAGGCCCTAGGCATTTTCAGATTTAATGGACCTATTGGAATGATTCTGCTATACTGTATTCTCATATGAGAAAATAGAAATTCAAACAATTGATTTAGCTAGACTACCTAGGGGGGAGAAGGTAGAGAGAATCCAGGAAAATTGTGTCTCAGTTAACCAGGATTATGAGTTGCCATGGTTGCCAGAGGTTACCTTCCTCCCTCACCTGATGGGTCATATGAAAGTCAAATCTGGAGTATTTATGAATCTGTACCATGTAAATGGAGAACTACAGATTGCATAAGACACCCAATATAATTCTTAATCAGTCACAAAAGCCTGATTATTTTTAGAGAGAGAGAAATTTCAGTGTGGAAACAAAAGCATCTCTGTTTTCAATAGATAATTGTTGCTTTTGCACTTTTTTGAAAAGAAAATATGGAAGGTAGAGCAAGGAATGTAATAAATCCTGTTTCTCACTCCGTCAGATGACAGGCAGGGAGAGCATGGATCCAATATTTCTGTCAGTAATTGACGTTTCGCAATTTAAGATGGTAGCTAGTAGACCAAAATTCTGTTGACTTCCACTATCTAATAACCTCCATAAAGCTGGCCAGGCATATGTTACCCACTGCCCGTGTTACTGCCGCCCTTACTCTCCATCTTCTTAAAAGTGAACCACAGGTTGATTGCCCTTTTGGGAAATCTAACTTTGTTAGTATCTGTAACATAAATGAATAATAAAGTATAAATACTTTGCTTTACAAGCATTCACTTGCATCATGCATGCAACAATCCACGTACTTCACAGGTTTGTTCTGGAGATCAAATGAGATAATATATTTAAAGTACCTTATAAACCTGAAGGTACTATATGAATGTTAACTGTTGTTACTACTACTCATTAAATGTGGCAGATATTAGCATCCCTGTTTTACAGGTGAAGACATCGAGGCAAAGAAGGAGAAGTCACTTGCTCAAGGCTGCACAGCTAGTTATTGCCTAGTTGGGAATAAAATATTGTTTCTTCTGTATCCCAATTCCAAGTCTTTTTCAGAAGGCCATGGATATTATGGATTCTTCACGGTTCCCTAATTCTGAAACTCTTCAAGTAAAGCCTGTAGGGTTATGAGAAGATTAATACTCAAAACAAAGCATTTTAAATCTATTTCCTTAGATCTGGTCAACTAGTTTGTTTTTCAGTACAGACATCATATACTTCCCACTATTAGGGAACTGTGCTATATTTTCACATAAAGTCTTCCAAAATATTTTAAATAGAAATGAGGAGGCTATGCACCCAGGTTTCATTATTTATAGTGTTAAAGAAATATATATCAATAAACCAGCATTGAAGAAATGTTATATTAATCCTAATGTAGGACATCCATTTGGCCATATGCCTAAAATGCAGCCTCATTTTAAGGGGAAAAAAAAACACACACTGAAAAATAATACTGGTTGATTACAGGTCTTAACCTGATGGATTTGAATCAGATTTAGGGCAAAAGTGTATGTAATATACAAAATAACAATGATGATCAGTACTGTGATAATAATTTATACTTATTTTAATCATGGACTTATCCTAAGACAGGTTATCAATTCTCAATTATGGAATTAAGAGACAGGTTACCAACAAAAATGTACTGTATAAAATAGTATTTGTAGCTAATAAGTCATCTATGCCCAAGAAAATTCCTTCCTGTTTCCTATGGAGATAATGAACTATTTTATTACATAGAGAAATGGTTACTTACAAGCAGTATTAAATATTATACCCAAATCTAACAGCTGCACAACAGAAGACATTTCCCTTTCTTGTAAAATTTTATAACCTTGAACAAAAATTTTAATCTTTTGCCTTGATGCAAAAAGATTCAAGCCGTTAGTGACAGATAGCATTATTATTATTATTGTTATTATTATTATTTTGGCAATTGGGGTTAAGTGACTTGCCCAGGGTCACACAGCTAGTAAGTGTCAAGTGTTTGGTCTGAGGTCAGATTTGAACTCATGTCCTCCTGAGTTCAGGGACGGTGCTTTCTCCACTGTGCCACCTAGCTGCACCCCAATAGCATTATTGTTCAACCTTCAGTTGTTTTGAAGGTACTTTGGTAGAATATCAGAATATACAAAGAAAAAATAAAATAGTTTTTTTTTTTTGCTATGTGTAAAAGATTCTAGAATAAGCATAAAATTAGAAGCAGTAGTAGTAGTAGTTTTTGTTGTAATGATAGTAAAAAGAACTTAAAATTATATAAAGCTTTAAATTTGCAAAGTGTAACACAGGTATTTTTATCCCAGTTTTACAGATGAGGAAGCTGAGACTCAGAAATGTAAAGTAACTTGCTCATAGTAACATAGTGAGTGCCAGAATCAGTATTTGAACTCAGGTTGGTTGCCTGACTAAAATCCACCATTTTCTCTGCTTTACCATCCTATATATCCTGTTTGTTGCCTGGCCTAACTGCCTTACACAATACTTTGCCAATTTAATTGCCCCCAAGATCATCCTGCTGAAACAGCTATATGGTAGATTTAACTTGTGAGACAAAGGTATGGTGGATGGAACACTTGGGAGTCAGGAGACATGGGTTTTAGTCCCAGCTCTTCCCCTCAGTTAGCTGTGTGAATCGTTTGTTGTGAACCTGGTTTTTCTCTTTTGTAAAATGAGACAGTTGACCACGATAAAGCTTCAGGTTCCATTTCAGCTCTAAAAGTCCATGATTCTGTTTAGGTTATTGATGATTTACAGATGAAATGCTGGCCATTTTCCTATCAAGTCCCTGAACCACATGAGGACCCAAATCCCAGTAACTCATTGACCCTGGATAAGTCATTTAGCCCCTCTCTGCAGCTCAGGTTTCTTTTCAGCCAAATGAGGATTCATTGAAGTGCTCTTCATGTCAATCCAGTATGAGGATAATTGTGAAAGTATTAGGCAAAGTAGAAAGAACAATGATAATAATGCTGACCCTGGTTGTGTGACTTGGTCAGCATTTCTCTGAGCCTCAGATTCCCCTCTGTCGAATGAGAGAGTTAGACCCGATGAATGCTGACATCCCTTGCAGCTCAACATTTTAGATCCTCTGATGATTATTTTTATAAAATGGGAGGGAGACCTGACAGGAGAAATTGAATGATAGAATGGTTGTCCTCCTCAACCCCCACCTCCATTTTGTAGTATAAAATTTAATAGCTTAGTCCGTTTTATACTATATGTAAGGCCCTGTGTTGGGAATGCAAGCATGAAAAATTAGATAGTTCCTGAACTCCAAGAATGTATAATCTAATGAAGGGTCTAGACATCAACATATACAACTATGATGTGATCAGCAAAAAGGAGAGATTCAATCGAAATAGTGTAAAAAATTTTGAAGAAGGAAAGATCACCTTCAGCAGAGAAGAATATTAAAGGCTTTTTGGAGGAGCTGGTCCGAGTTAGGCCTTGAAATATTTTCAGCAGACTAGAAGCTGGTGGAGGAAACAAGTGGGGGTGGGGATAGGGCAGCATTTAAATCTGGAGAATCTCATGTTCAGGTTTTCATTTATGCTCCCCATATAAAGGCAAAAATAAGGGTGATTTGAACTGCTTCTGTTTTATTGGGAACTGAAAGGAATCCCCTATTTGAGATTCCTCTGTCCCCAAGCCATGAAGTAGGACTTCTCATCTAATCTTTGGAAAGTGATGCCAGAAGAAGGACCACATAATTGATTATATCACAAGAATCAGTATTTGACTTTTTTGTTCCAAATGACTGACGTTTCTAGCTGTGTTTTACAGTGATTCTGGACGTGGGAGCAGTCTCTTAGATAGAACCATTGCTGACAGACGACAGCTTAATACAATCACTTTACCAGACTTCAGCGATCCTGAGACAGGTGAGAATGAAAAGCAAAGGGGAAATATGGAGGCCCAAAGCATTTAGGGTTCCATTCTGTATAACAGTATGAAAAGTGACCAGCACAATTGGGCTTAGACGGAAACATTTTTCATGTAAGAATTTTTAGTTCTTAACTTTCATTTTCTTGAGAGTCTTTTCCAAGTGTTTGTATACATTTAGGGTAGAACAGCTGGTACCTGCCCTAGCCACGTCTTTTGGAAAGTTCACATTGTCACTCTTTCCCTGAGAGCTCAAAGTTAACAACAAAAACATAAACAGGTCATGCTGTCACTTCCCCCATCTCCTCCTGCCCCCAACCCCTCCATCCCAGTAATCCCTCTCCACTTTCTTGCCCTACCAACTGTTTTTCAGGTTTTTCTCTTATCACTCTCTTTTTAGACTTCACTCTTTAGTTTATAATTAATTGCTCCTGATGTCAGAAACTGAAGAAGACACAGTACAGATACCAAAGATACCCCCATGTTGAGGGTTTCAAGTTCCAGACTTCCAAATCAGCGCTCTCCAAACCAAATCTTGCACATGTTTATTAAGAGCTCCTCAGGGTGTCATCCTCTGTGCAAATACACCCTGTCATTTGGGTTTTCCATATTTGCCTAAGTACTATGTAGTGTAAATATGCCTCTGTGATTTCATAGTCACATTGAAAAACTACTGACTGCTCAGTGACAATTCGGAGACTCAGCAGACTCACAAAACGAAATGAAATTCACTCAGATGCTAGAGCTGAAATGGTTTGGTCCAAAGGAACCATGTTCCAAACCTTATACTGCAGTACCCGGTTGATGGTCTCTTGTTAGGTTTAATCCCTAACTGTGTTTTGCCTTGTGTTTTATGGGCTGGGTATAGCACTTGTGCCTTTTTTTTCCCCTTGTTTTTAAGATGCAGACTATAGCAGAGCACTTCTTCTGCTTGACAGAGCCGTTTAAGATACATCCCCACAAAGAGCAGTCATTTGTGTAGAGTTCAAAGCTCATCAGCCCAGAAGGGTAAAGCCTCCTGTTAGCTGTTGGCATGGTAATGGAAATGGTGATATAGGGTGCTCAAGACACCCCCGGACTTCCAATAAGGTGCAGTTTAACCCAGATTGACCTTTGAGTTGATTTGTACAAAGGACATTGACACTGCTTTGGAGTTCAGTTTGTTAGCATTTCTTTATCCTTATCCTGCAGCTACCCCAACCATACACACATTCTGCATTAGTGGTCAGAGATGTCAGCTCCAAAGTTTCTGGTCACAGAAATCTCTGGTTAGAAATAATTGTTAAAAATGAGTTGATACAGGTGTTTTAAGGGAAAAGAAGGCTTAGAGAGTCTGGCTTAAAACTAAGTTCCCTGTTGGCACTTGCAACCTAGCAAACAAGCTAATCAAGTGGCAGGAGCTTTTCTGTTGCCTGATTAAGCCAGTGGTGGTTTGTAGTGTTTGACTTGTAAATCCAGGGAGGTTGAATTTCAGAAGTATAGTATCACACATGGTAAAAGTCTTCATTTTCTGGGCACACAGTGTTTCTTTGTCTAGGGAACAAACCTTTACTCCTTTCTTTGAAGCAAAAGGCTCAAGACTGAAGCATATGCCAACTTCCTTGATTCCCCATTGTTTTTGAAACCCTTTAGGGGCATTTTCTACCCCCTATTCAGTATTATAAAGGTACCTTGTAAGTGGGTTTAGGGCATGTGTAGGGGTGATGTGCTTCTACTGGTATGACTCAGGGAGACTGAGTGCCTCACAATGTGAAAGGAATAGGCGTTTCATCATGATTAACTACTGTGTGGAATGACTCTGTCATAGCAGAGAAAAGGGAAGGAATTGGGGCTCATTACAGCACCTGCAGCGGTTTAGACAGATCTGAAACAGCTGCTTCTGCTTCTCTTCTCTCTCCTCTTCTCTTTTCCAGCTCCCTGTGAGGCCAGTCATACTAAATTCAAGATACTTTTCCTTCTGGCCCAACTTAGAGGCAACTAGCCAAGATAGTTACATACTTGAAGGATTAGTTGTCCTTGGGGTCCTAAAAACCTCTCCAAATGCTGCACCACATTAAAAACAGATCATTTTTTCCTTTTTTAAAAAAATTGATTTTAGAAAAGAAGTTTAAACATCTATTTTGTTACCATTCTTTTGTTTCTGATGGCATTTTTCTCCAGATACCTCACTACTTTCCCAATTCATTTCAGACCTTGAATGCCTTGCTAACCAAATGAAGTGTTCCCAGTTGACTTTTAATGATGAGTTTTTCTGTGGTGCAGCAGTGCCTTGATCATGGGACAAACTTTTCTCCTCTTTAGATGCATTTTATTCATGTATCTGGTTTTCAACAGACAGCATTTATTCAGCTTTTAGGAACTTGGAGACTGTTATGTCTAAACTTTCCCATAGACAGAAACATTCAGACAGTGTTTGGGGTTTTTGTTGGTGAGCCCCCCCTCTTTTTTTAATAAGAAATTCAATGGATGAATGAATTTCTGTTAAGTAGCCACGGTGTGCCAGACATTGTACAAATACAAAAGTGTAACAGACCTTGCCCTCACAGTACTTCTATTCTAACCCTAATTAGGAAAATCAGAATTCACAAAACAGAAGAATTAGGAGGAAATCACTTACTTTACCAAAGAACCTACTCAAAGGTTCCTTTAAATAGCAGTTCCCTTTGAACCTCTAGGTGTTTGTTTACACTACGGTACAGAGGTGGAAATAGAGAAACTTCTGGCTGACATATTAGAAGTATTGTTGCTTCTAACTGAAGGTCAGTCAAAAGTAGAGATAAAACACCTCTGAAAAGTTTGTTGTTTAGCTTTTATATAGTGCTTTAAGGACAACAATGCTTTGCTGGTATTATTTCATTATGGATATGGGTTACGTAGTTTGTGAATTACAATGTATTTTAAGTTGAGGGCCTCACTACCCAGCATGTAATCATTATTTCTCTTCCCCTACCCAGTTTATATGTTGCTCAGAGGTGCAGGTTAATGTTAAATGTGAATCTGAGCAAAAACAAAAAAGCAACTAGGAAAGTAAATTGGAAGAGAAAAATAATTTAGAATACATGTATTTTCCAAAAACAAATGTAAGTGATCTAGAGCCTTTTTTGAGACTGAATGGCATCTTGGCCATTTATAGATATATGTTTATATGCCTTTAAAAAGTTGTTGATGACTTTCATTGAATGTGTATATGTATTTTAAAATTTTTGTATTTGGGATTGTATATGTGCATGTCTATGACCATCAGGAAGAAGGAAAAACTCTTGGTACCCAACATCCAATTAAGTAGAAAATAACCATGAATATTGCATTTGGATATTCATTTTATTTAGAAGAAAGGTTAAAAATAAAATACCAACAAATCATTAAAGATGAACACTCTCTACTTTATCCCAACTGTCTTTCTCATCTCCCATCATTGCATTCAAGTGGGTCCCAGCTGACAAAAAAGAAGACTCAAATTGTGTGACAACTTTGATTCTCTGAAGCTGTGAGTCATTGCCTTTTTGTTGGAATAAGTTGGTAGCTTCTTAAAAAGAGGTTATTTCCAAACAAAAATTTTCTGCCTTTTGCTTTCAAAACAGGATATGGGGTGTTTAGATTTATTTTGTCATGGAAAGTAGAGATTGTCAGACATCTATTGAAGGCGAAATATGTCTTTTAAATTGAAAGAGTTTCGTCCCTTTATGGAAACACATTGCATTGAGACCTATAAGATGTAAACCTTATTGTTGTTGTTCAGTCATCAAAAGAAACATGGAATTCTATGAATAGCTTCTATCCCAAATGGACCTAATGATAAAACCTCTAGAAAGCTCAGTCCATTCTTCATGATGTTTACTTGGTATATCAATAAGTGTTTCTCAGAAAAGCTAATCTGGGATTCAGCAGCTCTCATTTACATGAAATTTTATAAGCCCAAATAACCATAATAAATGCGATCTATTTTGGGCACTTTGACCCATCAGTGATTTCATTGGTATCTGTACTCCTTCTGTTGATTACTACCACCATTCTGCTATCTTATTCTGGCAATTCTTGTCCACTGCTTTCTATAAATCCTCCTTAGAGAGTATACCCAATACATTGGAGTCCAGACTTTAGTTCTTTCTATTATGTTGGGTCTATGAATGTGCTATTCAGATGGTCCAGCTGTTGTTTTCAGTTCTTACTATATGATCTCTTTTTCCAGTTATTTGTATTCTTGATGATATCCTTTGTGTCACTAACACAGTTGAAGAGAAATTTAAGAAATCAGATTTTAATTCTGATAATTTTAGTGGTGTTTTACAAAATTTAAAAGTCAACAGCAAATTTATCCAAGAAGTAATTTTTAAGTTTCCTAAATTAAATCTGTTTTGTTTTTTAGTGGGTCTTGCCAAGGAATTTTTCCCTGGCAAATTTCCTTTCCTTTCCTTCAGTTTTATTCTTGTAGATCCCCAAAACAAAACAAAACAAAACAAAACAACACAAAAAAAAAACAAAAAAAAAGAAAAACCAACTTCAAACCATTGTTTAAAAATCATTTGTTTTCTTTATATGCCATTCTATTGTCAAGTACTGGAATTGAATGTGTATTATATTACCTCATTTGATTTTCAGCTTTCCTTGAGTATGTTAAAATTACGTTTGTAGATTTTTTTTCTGTTTTGTGTGTTTGTGAGGATTTGCATTGTTTTTATTTGTGGGGTTGGGGATTTTGTTTTTTGTTTTTGGTTTGTTTTTTTTTTTGCCTTTATCCTTTCTTTTCTCTTTTGCTTTTGTAGTGTCAGATTCCTCTTCCTCCTCTTCTCTTTCAAGAACAGAATCTCCTCTTCATCTGTTTGTATCTACTCATCTTCCTCATTCTCATCCCAAACCTGACACTTTTGTGTGGCCCCGGGCAGCTTATTCAGTCAGTGACCCAGCCCCCCACCGGAAACCCTCTCTCTGTAAAAATGTTTTTGGCAATCCTCTTGAGTTTGCTTGGTGTTTTGTTTTCTGATAATCTTTCTAACTGATA